GTTGGGTGGGTAGCAGCTGCAAGGAGACAGCAGAGAGGCGTGTAAGACTGCGACCCTGCATCCTGGACTCAACTCTGGGTTGTCATAATTTAGGTTGTAAAACAAACTAGTCCACATTTCTAGATGAGAGAGCCGCACCACCCAAAGTGGGATGGATGCCGTCTCTGCTAATCAGACCAGGTTTTCCCCAAAATGTTTTCCAGTTGTCTATGAAGCCCACGTTATTTTCTGGGCACCACCTAGACAGCCAGCGGTTGAATGACGACATGCGGCTAAACATGTCATCACTGGTCACATTGGGTAGGGGTCCAGAGAAAACTACGGAGTCCGACATTGTTTTAGCGAAGTTACACACTGACTCAACATTAATCTTAGTGACCTCCGACTGGCGAAGTCGGGAGTCATTAGCGCCGACGTGAATAACAACCGTACTGTATTAAGGTGATGTTATGATGTTATGTTGTTTGTTCTCCATTGCTGCTGAAACACTGAAATTTCCCCATTGAGGGATCAATAAAGTACCTACCTACCTACCTCTCCTGCCCAATGGCTTTCTGTCATGAGCTTCAGTGTGCCAAGTGACAAAGATTTCTCCAGCAACCCAAAAAAGAAATCAGAATCAGCTTTATTGGCCAGCTGTGTTGGACACATGAGGAATTTGACTTGGGTACATCGGCTCTTAATGTGCATGTATACAGAATAAGCAGTATTTAATTGCAACAAATAGTGCAAAATAAGCAGTATAAACAATGCAGACAGACAAAGCAGTGCCAAAATGTAGAAAACAAAAGTCTTAAAAATACCACGCTTATATACTATCCCTTACAATGCACAGCAATAAAGTCTCCTTCCATTGGTCAGGATCATGGCATGATAGCCTCGTGCTCAAGGTGGACAGTGCATGATAGCTGAAGTCATCCCTTTTCCTATAAATGCTGAGGCATGAAACTATTTTTTTAAACTGCTAAAAAGTCTAATCTTTTCCTAAATACCTTTTAAACAAATGAGATGGCTATAATTTTAATTTTTAATTTCTTATCTGCTGGTTTCGTAAGTCCACAGAGGTACAGGAAAATTCTGTTAAACATTGTAACAACAACAACAACAAACAAACTGTTGCGATTTCAGTGAATTGCCTTTTGTATTTGTAATTTTAGATGTTCTGCTGACCATCTGCTCACTGATTCATAACCCGGCTGTACCGTATCGCTGTCTTTGCAACGATTATCTAAAAAAACATTTTGCTTTATCAACATGTTCAAACCAAGGACAAATCACATTTTTAAAGACCTTATTCTAATTTTACACAACACTCTCACTCTTGCGTATTTCATCACATCATTAATACACTCTTAAAATCATTTTCATGATTAGCTTTAATTATTACCATCACTTTGGTCATTGTTAAATACATTATAAATCACAGAACCTCTTATTTGTTACATCTGAAGAATACTGTATTACATATCATTTAAAGCTGGCCTCTTCCACACCATCTTACAAGCTTTTGGAGTAGTCACATGAGATTACCAGATTTAACTTGAACTGTTTCACCTGTTTAAAACAACGCAGAAATACTGTATACATTGTTCCTTCTCTTAACAAGAGACTCATCCTTTTCCTCTCAGACTAATCTTTGCCCTCTCTGTCCCGCAGGACCGAGCTGAAAGAGCAGCCCGCTATGCCAAAACCCAGGAGGAGGAGAAGGCTGCCAAGGAGACCCTGGTACAAGCCAGACAGGCCAAGCAGGAGGCCAGGAAGGAGGCATCATTAAGGGAAAGGAGGTAAAAACTCCATAAAGAGTTTTGTTTAAAAAAAAAAATATATATATATATACACA